GGGACGTGAGTTCGATCCCACATGCGAGCGGATTTTTTCATTATAAGCGGTTACATAAAATAATAAAATTACTATTTAATCTGTATAATTAATAAGTGTTGTGAATAAAAACTTGTGAACTTGTTTGTGAATAATATTAAAAGTCTGTCAAAAATGAAGTTAAAAAATGTACAAATTATCACAAATTGTGTTTTTTTTGCTAAAATTATTTTTCAATATTATTATGTTAAATGACATTTATTGTTAGTCATATAATATTTATATGAAAATAATATAATTATTATAATAATAACTTATTGTCATTAAATATGTAAATACATATATATTAATAACAATACTGTTTATTATTAATAATAATAATTAATATATTCACGTTATATTGAATGAACGCGTGAGAAGCGTGTAAATTTGGGAACAGTGGAAGCAGTCTTGTTCAGTCCTGCTTTCGGTTTCCGCAGCATTGATTGAAGATTGAACGCCAGTCTTCAACAAAGACTGAGCGTCAGGTTTACATCGATGTTACTATTCCGGACTCAAGTAGCCTTGCTTTCGCTGTCCCACCAATCTTCAACCAATACTGACCAAGTCTCAATCAAGCTTCGTAAAGCCTGAACTCACTGTCAGCTCGCGCCTGGGTATAAGCAAAAATGTAACTTAAAACTTTGCTGAAAATTTAAATTAAATTTTCAGGAAAGTTTCACGCTAAACATTTATTGAAGTGGGACATTTAAATCTTTACGAAATTTTCACTAAACTTTTTAAGTAAATACTTCGAAGTTTTCAAGTAAATATTTAATAAATTTTTAGGAAAGTTTCGGTGCTGTGTGGGCATTGTTAGTTCAAAATTTCGATACATGTAGCGCGCAATTCATTATCATGGCATCCTTTTAAAAATGGGCGTCTCAATTTGTCCGTCGCGTCGGACTTTTGTCATTTCTAATGATTTTTTCCCAAAATTTTGACTGTCCGATAACGTACCGGGTGGACCTGCTACTACTTAAAAATTTAAATAAAATTCTCTAATCTTCAGGATTGTGAAGGGCTTAGTCCCTGCTAGCACTCTGGTAATTTTCAGATGATTAGAATTATTAAATTTGAAAAAAATAAATTTTTATTTTCGTTTTTCCAAATTTTTATTGTCTGATGGCGTTCGGGTGGACCTGCTGCTACTTAAAATTTAAAATAGAATTCTCTATTCTTCAGGATTGTGAAGGGCTCAGTCCCTACTAGAACTCAGATGATTTTCAGATGATTTTAATTTTTAAATTTGGAAGAACTAAGTTTTTAATTTCTTTATTACCAAATTTTGATTGTATGATAGCGTTCGGGTGGACCTGTTACTACTTAAAAGTTGAATTAAAATTTATTATTTGTTAGGATTGAGTAGGGCTCAGTTCCTATTAGAATTCAGGTGATTTGTAGAAGATTAGAATTTTTTAATTTAAGAGAAATAAATTTTATATGACTTTATGTAATTGTTATTGATGTTTTTAAGATAAAATCACCAAAAACATTCACAAATCTTCATCCTAGCTCATGCACATAGGGCACCTTCCAAGCTTCATTTTGTTTCTACATAGAGCATGATATCTGGTATAAATGAAAACCTTCGGAGAGCAGTTTTGATAGCTATAGTGGACTTTAGTATCTATCATTAAAACTGATTTTCGAATGTGAATCAGTAAGAACAAGGAAAATTTTTTGTATTAGTCGACGTCAGGGTGCAAAGTGAATTCGATGAAATTTTCTAAACATTGTCAGCCATATTGGATCCGCCATTTTGAATTTTTAAAAACAGACTTCATATTTGTAATTAGCAACCCCAAAATTCCCCAAGTAATAATTTTAAATGAATCCGATGAAATTTTTTAAAAATTGGCAGCCATATTGGATCAGCTATTTTGAATTTTTGGAAATTAATTTCAGTTTCGTTATCAGCGACCCCAAAAACCCCCGAGTAATAAAGTTCCGGAGAATCCCATTGTTTTTGGAGGCAGAAAACTGATTTTTTTAATGAAAGTTGGAACGCCATTCGTAAAAAACAATAAAATTTGGCTACGAAAATATTTTCAAAATTTTTGTAGAATAAATTTTGGTGAAAAAAATTTTTAAATTGATTGGACTTATGTGTCACAACTTATGTTGTGACCAGTGACCCTCTATATAGGTAAGAAATGATGTACTTTCGGTGTATTAAAAAAAAAAATTGACTATCTGAAGATTTGAAGTCTCAATTTTAAATTTATAATTACTTACCTCAGAGTGTTGCAAAGTTCAAAGAAATTAAAAATTTACTAAATAATAAAACTGAATAGACGCAGTAAGTTAATTGGCATCAAAACCTATTTTAATTAAATTTTTCAAATTTATTTAAAAGCTTTCACTCTTGCTCGAATCGTAACATAAACAAATATAAATGTTGAAAAAATTCAAAATTTAAATGCTCAATTTTCAAATAAAATGTAGACAATATGGGTTATAAAATAAAATAGAATGCATATGTATAGTTTTTCGACAATTTATAAATTGCTCATAAGAACGTATCATTTTTTTTATAACTTTTGTTCTTCTTGGTTTTAAATTAATAATTACGAGAACGACTGTAAAACATTATTAGTTTCAATCACACCGTACCCAGCCGATATGCGGTATTTTCATTTTTTTTGTCGTAGGGGGGGGGGAATAAATATAGAGGAGAGTTTTTTTTAGTGCGGATAAATGTTTTGAAGAATAATTAACGACGAGTGGTAGAATGTTTTTTCTTTTTCTTTCTTGTATTGCGTGTGCTACATATGTATACCTATATCGGATCAAGCTGGACCAAAGAAGATCACGCATTTATTTACAAAAATTTTTTGTTTTTTAATAATAAATCTTGACTTATTTTCTGGAAGAACGGGTGGCGTGCTTTTGAATTTGAAATTACAATACTTTTCTTTTTTCTCTTCCTTGTTTCAAAAAATGCTCAATTTTTGTTTGTCATTCAAGATTTTAATATATATATTTATTTTTTGTAATAGTGCACTTGATAAGACGGTTGAATTGAATAAAACAAGGAATCGTAGACGGTGTTACGAACTCGATATTCTAGTCGCTTTCTCTAAAGGGGGGTTAAAAGAAAAAGAAGTTTGAGATTGAATTTTTTTTACACAACGTAACTTTGAGAAAGGGTGTAAATATCGAGTTGTTACAATCGTTTCTTCTGTACAAGTTATATTTTTTAATATGTATAATATGTGCATTTGTATGTGCAAATTATGCGGTTATACGAATTGAGGATTTTTTCTGGGTTATTTTACACTTTCGGATGTTGGCAAGTGTTGCTTAGAAATAATACAAGGATATTTTGTTTTGTGAAAAAGAAAGAATGACAATTTTAAAATAATTGTTTTTATGAGATGAGATCTCGTTTTTTATGATTTGAATTATTTTTTTTTTATTCGAGTCTTCTTCTCAATCCCAATCCCAAGGTCTCTCTTCTAAAATCTAAACAACTACTGAAAGCTACTGATATAAACGATCAATATTTCCAAAGAGAGGAACAAAGAGAAGTTTCACAAACAGTAGTTAGTCGGGGGAAGATTTATCAATTATTTAACTATATAAGGAGAGATCTTGGGGTTGTCGATAGTTATACATTTTTCTTTTTGCTTGCTGACAAAAATTATACGTCTTTTTTCGAATTGTCGTCGGATTCTTTTGCGCTGGGCTAATACAATTTTTTCCAAGCAACCTTATTCACTATTTAGTTTCATTCATTTTAAATTGGATTTAAGAAAAAATACGAAAAAGAAAAATTAATATTTTATTTAGCTAGACTTATTTTTTAGGAGTAATAATTTAATCTCTTTTTCTCTTCTCATAAGATGTAATGATATGGAACACGGCACAGTATAATGATTAACGGCAATATACTCTTTAACTCACACAACTTTTTTCTTTCTTTCTTTCTTTCTTTCTCACATACAATTCAATTCTTACAATTCTTTAATACATCTTTTTAAAGTCTTTTCTCTTTTTCTTTCCTGAAATTGCAACTACGAAGGTAGCTCACAGTTTGAGTGAAATAAAAAAACCCTGTAGCTACATTCATAGTTTCAATATTTCAATTTTAATAATAAAACACCGTGCTGAATAAAAAAAGCACTGACATTTTCTTTAAGGTTCTTTTTCCCGTACTTATACAAGTGAAACTCATCCTAAAAGGAAACGAAAGAATTTTTTAATTTGTACGTCAAGAAATTTATGAATATTTATAAAATGTTTCGTTGCGATAAATTTTAAAGAAAATTTAACCATTGAACCAAGAAAATACGGAAAAATAAATATTCATATGCAATTTGGTATTTCCTTCGAGGATTTTTCTATTCTTTGCAATTCTTAAAGAAACCATCGGTTTTCTGTTTTTTATTCCTATATCTTTCCTTCGATCACTCACACTTGTTTTATTTTTTTAACACATTTTTTTTGGCTAATTTCTAGTCTCGATTATCTAAGTAAATGTGTACGAATGACGTAGCAAAATTGTCCTTTTTTCCTAGTCTTTGCTGCTATTTTATGAATGTCCTATATGTCGTATATTATTTTTCGAAAGTTTGTGAATTCAAATTTTTTACACTCTTATTGCCAAATATTCCGTAATAGGTACATTAGGGTGAAATAAACGATAAAAATTAAAAGTTTTGCTGATTTTATAAATTTTCATTGTTTTTTTTCATTTTCAATTTCTAAAATCAGAATGTCGACTTGAATTTATGTCCGACGTATTTTTAGAAAACATAGTTAAAATTTTTGAAAACTACAAAAAAAAATTAAAAACTACTTCTGGAAATTCCAAAAACACCAAGTTTTATAAAAAACAAGAATTTTTAAATTTAATTTCAATTTTTAAACAATTTTAAATCCTCTATTTTGAATAAAAACTTGAAAACAAATAATTTTAAAATATGTTTTCAAATTTCAAAATAAAGGACAATTTTTTCTTTTTCTACCAAAAGGAAAATATATTCAATAATAAGAAGTAATAAATTCTTTTTCAAGTACCCCTAATGTACATGTAACGAAATAAAAATTTGAATTTGATGAAATTTATTGCGATTTTACATAATTAAATTCACATTCCGTCAACTATACATAGAAGCGAATTGGCTCGTACATGCTCATTTGAAAATTGTGCAAAGAAAAATAACAATTCGATTAAAAAAATTACTTTTTACGAATTTTTAATTTGACGTTTAAAAAAATGTATCAATTTGCTTTTTTTTCAAAGAAAATGAGAAACTAGACGCATTTAAAAATTAAAATTGTAAAAAACTTTAAACTACAAATTTATACAATAGAGATAGAAATTTACCATTTTTTTCAATTTTAGATTAAAATATTAAATATTTTTTCACAGATATGTATTCATTTGATTATAAGAACAAAAAGAATATACAAAATATATTTAAATTCCTTTCGATAGAAGTACTTATTAAAAAGAAGTGTACAAATTTTTAAAAATGAATTCTATTATTTATTTATTTATTAATATTAAATAAATTAATATTTTCTGTTTAAAAAAAGTAAATAAATTTCATAGAGGGGCAGTTTATTGGAAAGAGCATTCTAGAGCGAGTGAACGAATGAAAGGAAATAAAAAAAAAAAATTTTTTTCAAGTATGTAATGGATGTAAATGTTAATGTACATTGAATGTGCGTGTTTGGTATGGGATAACAATTACACTGCGGGTTCTATTATAGATTTCGAAAGTGTGTATAATGACAATGATTTTATTTTCAAAACAAAATTTTTCTTTCTTTAATATAACAAATAGTATAACACTCACCATGAGCGACAAAAAATCAAGGTACGCATTTTAATTATACCTAATAAACACACAGTCACAGTTTATTTACGAAAAACACAAGCATTCTCTTGTTTTTTTTTTAATTATTTTTTTTATATTAGGTACAGTACATACGCGCCATATGATTTTCAAGCATAGTATTGTCAACAATTGTGTATATTTTTATGGGTAATAATCAATTCTTTTTTTCCCACTATTTTCGCAGAATTCTTCATTTTTTCTTGGTTTTTATTACTCCAGAGGATTGTAGAATTCAAAAATATTGAAAATTTTGTAAATTCGATTTCAAAATTTTGCTAAATTCTTCAATTATGTCAGAATTGTAAAATTGTTATTTGAATTTCCCGCCACAATTTTTCTGCTTTTTCTACAGTTCATAGATTGGAGACTCGATGAGTATATTTAAGTTTCAAAGTCGCGGAATTTGAAACTTTTTCGAGGCAATTTTTTTTAAAAAGTACATTTCAGGGAAAAAAATTAATTTTTTAGAATATTTAATTAAAGAACTAAGGAAAATAAAATAATTCTTCAAATCCTCCAGAGTATTTTCAATCATTGCCATGTGTTTTCATTCTCTTATCGCATCATGGGTGGTATACGTATAGAATATAGGATTCAAAATGTTGTTTTTTTTTCTAAAAGAGAAAAATACTCCTGCTACTGGGATGGAAATGTTTTTTTAATGTCAAATGTACAAAGTGAGTGTACAGTGTCATGTATTTTTTTTAGAATGATGTGTATACATACAAAGAATTTAACGTGTATATTTAAGGGGTAATTATCACAGAATACACGAGATATTTTGTTTTATAGCTTACAAGATAAGAATCCAAGCTGAGAGTAAGAAGAAAATTTAAATCGATAATTATCATCATTCAAATGCAAACATTTAGAAAATACGTCAAATCGATATATAATTTACAAATTAGAGAATTTTTTTTTCAAATTAATTATTTTATTTACATTTGAACGTTGAGAGAAAATCGACATTAAATGCAGCCTTTTTTCATATCTCTATATCCATAATTTAGGCAGAGGAAAAATTTACACGACAAAAGAAAAATTAGTATAATGATAAGATTCGAATGAATTTTTTTTTTGGGGGGGGGGGAGAAGATTTTTAGGAGAAATATTTACAAGAATAAAATTAGTATTAGAAATTTAGTGAAAATGAGAAAACTAATATTTTTTAATGTTCGATATAGCTCGTATTAGTTCTGTAAAGTCTGTAATGATATACTCCGCGCTGGACTCGTATAATTATACGTTAACGATAAATGCTAGACACAATTATTTTTTTTATACTACAGAGTAGAAATTGGATTGAGTCATAAGAATCTTTTGTCTCAGTTGAGATAAAAAAGATTTTGGAATATTGTTGATGGAACGATGAAATTCAATCGAATTAAGAGTGCATTTGTTTCTCGGATTTAGTGAATTTTGTTTGTCTTTGTCTCGTACGAACTTGTTTTTTAGAAACAATTTTTTTATTATAAATTTAAAGCAAAATATTTTTCTAGAAATTTTCTCTTTTCTTTTCTCTTTGACTATTTTGAAGAAAAATATTTTTTGAAAGAATGCACAAAGCATTGGAAAACACAAATCGTAAAATTTTTATGCGATAGAAAAGGACAAAGTATATACCTATCCTTTCCTCTCTCATGTAAACTATTTTCAATGTGCGTTGACGCATATTTAATCTCCTTAAAATTAAATTCGACTGATAGTTGAATATCGCCACCAGTGGCGCTCTCCATTCATCGCCAATAAAGAAACTTAGTGTGCAGGGTAAAACAAAATTTTAAATCACTATTGAACATTTATTTACTTGTCTTTATTTCGACAGTTATTAAAGATTCAAAAATGTATAAACATATTTCAAATTATATTTTCATGAAAGGAAAATATTTATAATAAAAATTTAATCACAATTCTAAATTAGAAACTTAATATAATAATTCTTGTACAAGTACTAAATTATCATAAATAAAATTCACTAAAAATAAAGTACTGCAAACTTTTCTGCTCAACGATTTTCTTCTTTCAAATCATGCAATTTGTTTTTAAGTTTTCTAAATCACTATTATAATAAAATACATTAAAATTTTTTTTATTATTATTCAATGGAGTTGAATTAGTAATGTTCCAGTGTATAAATAGCGCCACTGGTTGCGACATTCGACGTCAATGTTACCGACAGAGAAGAAAGAGGACAAACATATATTGATGTCCTTTACCAACTCATTCTTCGAAAATTACATTTTATTATTGTTACGACGTTCGTACGAGAGAAAGAAAAATCCGAAATCGTTATTTGCATTCATCGCGGCAGACACACTTTTCGACTCGATACTTTTTTATTTACGGATAAGAACATTCTTTACATTGTTAATGTCTATTATAACTAGCGGCGCATCATGAGTGTCGCCAAGATGCGCCTATTTGGTCGTACGCAATGCTACCTTAGTCTGTATTAGAAAAAATTCTTCGTCAACAACGCATCATCATCATATATCTACATTAGACACATTCTTTCTTAATACAAGGAAGTGGTCGTAGAGATGAGCAAAAACGTATTCTACACTCAGCGTCAACTTCCTTATTTTATTACATCGTCATCCATAAAAGATGCATACTTAAATTTTAATAAGTGTGCCTTGAAACGAGTCGTCACGAAGACCCATTATTATTAATATTACTTAAAATTATCTACTTATATTGTTTTCGAGTCACTCGCCACTATTCGCGAAAGTGGCGAAAATTACATGTCCCTCCATTAAATTTTCAACGCACTTAAATCATCTATATTTATATCGATCATAGATTCACTTTTTTTTACCTTAAAAATATTGCGTACTGGCAGCAGTATTTTCACCCTTTCTTGTGTACGTATTATGTGAGACACTTTGTTCTTCAAATGCGCCTCGACGAAGAATAATTCGAAGCTCCATTTTAATTTGTCTTGACTAAATTCTTTTTTTTATTTTCATCTTTTGGTGATTCGCGCGCCTTTTGTTTTCCAAAATGTTGGATTTGAAGCTCTCGGTAGAAAAAGTGGGAAGAACTAGTCAATGGACAAGATCCTTTTTTTTTAGTAGAAAATATTTGTCGAAGAAAAACATTGGAATTAAGGAGTTCCGAGTTTTGCTGACATGTTTCCTTTTAAGATGATGCTCGAAGTGCGGATCTTATCAGTCTTCTTTGGCAAGGCTTTGTGCATTGGAAGGACCCCCAGTCCTTTCGGGTCCAGTAGTCATCTTCAGGGACTTGGACAAAGCCTCTTTCCTTTTTATTTCACACCTTCAGGCTCTTTCGAAGCTCGAAGGATTCAGTTGTACTGCTGTTAAATTACTTCGTCTGTTGCTTCACCGCTTCAAGTTGGATTCGGGAGTGGATTTTCTTGTCTAATGTCGCTTTTCAGCTTGACAAATTCTTTAGCGACGTCGTCATTGTTCCTTTGAGAGAGAATTCGCAGAATTGTCCAACCCGTCTCGTCCATTTGAATTCGTCTGCCGAGTGACAACCAACAAGCACACGAGCCTTGTTCCATGATGTCTTTTAGTTGCATCACTGCTACACCCACTAGACGATCATCTCGTGCGAAGCAATAATCCTTCACGCATATGTGCAATTCCAGATAGCCCAACAGAGTCTGGTCGCTTCCAATTATGCTGCAAATAAACAAGTATTATTAGTTATTATTATATTTAATGTATAATAATTCCTGTCCGAATGTTATAATGATAAGGTTTTTATTTGTTGGGAATTCGCTCGCCGGATAAAGTACGACGATACTCGTGAAATAATAATCGAGAAGTAATGTTCCAGAATATGATCGAGAAACAATAATTAACAATCATATTATTCGGAAACATGAGCAAATAAATATTTACAAATTAAATAATTAACAACAATAAAATAACTAAGAACGCGAGTGAGTAAACATTCGATGATCGAAGTAGTAGCTTTTCGCCTATTTTTCGAGATCGAAGGATGAACCCGCACCACCTAGAGAGAAGTTGGTAGATTCCTGTCAACGCCAAGGTCTCCATTTAATGATGGGTTGGGATGCCAATGCTCAACATGTTGTATGGGGTAGCACTGACATTAACGACAAAGGTAGAAGACTTTTAGACTTCCTGATTGATACGGAATTAGAAATTTTAAACCAGGGTAATGAACCAACTTTTGTTACTGTTAACAGAAAGGAAGTATTGGACATTACGATATGTTCCAAGTCTGTGTGGGATAGTGTGAGGGACTGGTCTAATAAAGACTTTATTTCGGACAACAGATTCTTTACATTCAGTATGGAATCGAAAGATACCATCATTGATGTCTTCGATGTACTGGGATTAGTGGATTCTTATCCACTGACAGACATGATTGACATCATAGATATGTTAAGTAGACCTTGCCGTGGTGGCGGGGCTTTTCACTAAAGGGCAACGAAACAGCAAGAAAAAATGGATTCACAAAATTCAGAGAAAGTACCCAATGTTAGCAGGTCGGAAACGGGAAATCTCACCACATCAGTCCTAGGCCTGATGCTCAAGTACGCGTGGATTATGATAGCGCACAATTTCTTGCAGTGCCACGAGTGATCGTGGAAAAGTTAGATTTACAGAACATCGCCCCCTATCCACTCTGAAGTAGACGACGACGAGGCGATAGAAAAGACTCGCGAGATATGCTTGCGGCTTAGAAAGGAGGAGGCGGCTTGCCTCCACAAAATCTTACCCAAGCCGGTAAGAGGAAGAAGGAGGATGCGCCTCCAATGGAAACGGAAGTACTGATTAACATACAACATTACATGCTGACGTTCTGGGAAAACTTCGCAAAGAGGTCAACCCGGACGTCAGCCATACGAGGATAGTAGCAGCAAAAGCTACAAAGAAGGGAGATGTTCTGATCAGGATCAGAGGAGACTCCAACAAGGACGCTTTCACCGCTGAGGTCACAAAGATGGTTTAAAGCATGAGTAAGGTGCAGTCGATGGATCAAAGAGTTACACAATCCGTGATTTTGATTGCCTTATCCAAGAAGCAGAGGTCTGAAGTGATGGAAAAGCCAGGAAGCAGGAGAATGACGGTCTTAGGGCCCAACGCCGAGGGATGAAGCTCGCGGTTGTAGTCACCAACCCGGAAGAGGCGAGCAGACTGGAGAAATTGGGACACGTAAAACGCTTTATATGTTGCCCAATTAAAAGAAGGGTAATGGTCGTCCGGTGTCATCGATGCTTGGGATACGGACATATTGAAGCTAAATGCTCAAAGGAGGACAGATAGGCTGCGTGCTTTAAGTGTGATGAAGCCGGTCACAGGTTCTCCAACTGTAAAAAATCTAAGCTGCTTTTTGTACAAGGAAAAGTTTGTCAATTATAGGTGCCAACCACCCATATTGCAGGCAGCGGAGGATGGGGAGTCTTCAGGACGACCCTTGAGGATGAGAAGAAGACTCTCGATAGGACTATTGAATTATGAGCTATTGAATCAGTACAAAATAGGTAGACCAACGTTGGATACGATCAGTAGTATCCTACTTCCTACTTGCAGCTTCCCGCATGGGAAATCCAGTTCGAGTTCGGTTATTAGATTGGATTAGATCCTGACACTGCCGATATTCTTGCCCAACACTAGTTTCCAATCGAAGTTTATTTGCGGAATATTGGCTTCCAAACTTCATGTTTCCTCCTAAGACGTCATCTCAATGACTCATATATTTTTTGATAAAATTTTTTTATAATTAAAACTCTAGACATTTTATTCTTCTAGTAGAAAAATATAAAAAATTAACTCCACTTAAAAAATACTTTAAAATGAGGAATTAAAGGAGATTAGAAACCATAAAAATTTAGACGTAATATTGTTATCATTTTCAATTATTTAAAAACTAATTCAAGAGTTAATTTATTCCAGTTAATATTAACGCTTTAGTTTGGAACAATAAGAACAAGAAGTGTTGTAGTAGTTATTATTCCCGAAGGTAGGATCGCAACATGAATGGATAAACAGTACTTTGAATTATAGTATCAAAGTTTGTGAAGGTCACGATTCATTATTCATTTGAGGCGATTATGAAACTTATAGTACTTACAAGTGGAAGGTTTCGTTAAACTTCGGTGACAGGTTATTGCTCTTAGACTTGGTGGCGTGCTTTCTCTTCTTGTCTGCTAGATGTGGACCTATCAAATTGACCTCAACAAATGGCCTAAACATTCCACCTGACTCGGGCCATTTTAGATCATTCGCAGCAACAACTGTAAATCATCGATAGGATGAGTATAATTATTAATATTAAATACAGTTTTATAATTAAATATTCATGGGTAATGAATAATTTGAAATGATTAAATTAACTTTTAAAAATTACCTTTTACGCTAACTTTCTGTTCTCCTGTACCAGGTTGTGTGAAAAGATCTACTTGAATGCTTACTTCACCCACGGAACCTTCATCAGAACCAGCGGTATCTGCAAGTATAGAAATTTTTTTTAGATAATCATAGAAATTGATTTTGCGCTTTATCTTTGCAATTGTAGTTTTCAATGTACCATCTTCTAGAACTATAAACTAGAAAGAAATACTCTAATAAATTGTTCTACGTTTTTGGCTCAAAGTAGTGCTAAAGTAGACTACATGCGTTAATAATATAATTATTGTGTAAAATAGTCTAAATAGGATTATTTTGGGTTATAGACTGCAACGGGATTCAAGCCCGTTAATTACTCAAACTAAACTGATAGGAGTATTCAAATAATGTTCAGAAATGATGGGTAAATTTTATATGATATTGTAAATTGAATTACCGTCCCAACCCAACGTATATTTATTATTTACGAAGACCATGGTACTCCTTAACCTGACATTATGAAGATAATCTATTTCTTGAGATTTGTAGACTTTACTATGCCTTCTTTAAGGAATTGTAATCTTTGCTCTTTGTTTTGATAATTTCAATACAGGAGTTCCCTGAGTAATCTAATCTAAGACTTTAACCTTCTGCGAAATTATCTCAAAAGCATATGCAATTTTGGGAGTGGAGTGATTTACCTCCGGATCAAGGATAGTCTAGCTATCTTAACACGGGTTTGACTACGCGAAGCCAAATGCTTTGCGGAGATTAACTATAATATACAGAAGCGTCTCTATGGTTACAAGAATTTTTCCCTAGTAATTATATTATCAAAGCGCACATGCTCCGGCAACAGGATTTAAGCACATTATTTGACAACAACATTTTTTCAGTTGAAGCCTGGCTATCAAAGTGTAATTACCAGCCTAAACTCGAAGTGCTTCTTGGGCTAACAGAAAATAATTTGAAATTCTAGAATACTCTGTAAAAAAAAGTTTGCAATATAGGCATTTTTCTGCGAATGTAGATATAAAAAGAACTAGGTCTGTAATTTTCGCTAGGTCTCTATTTACTCTACTATTTAAAGCAAAAAAACTATGGATATTATATTTTATCTCTGAATACTTTTTGGATTAAGATGATTTTTCTCTAGAACATGTTCATTGGCCACGGGGATATGAAATTTTTTTATGAAATCTTTAGGACATCTTCTAAAAGATGTCCTACAGACACCTTAGGTCTGTCCTGCATAAAACTTACTTTCGCATAATGACAGTAATTCTGTAATTAGTTCTAGAGTATTTTAGGAGAAATTTTAAGATTCTCTTATCTAAAGACAACTTTCTGACCTATATAGTCTTTAGAAAGTATTTTTAACAAAAGTGAACATCCTTAAGATATCTTAAAGGGAATCTATGATTGCCAATCTTAAGGAAGTATTTTTAACAAAAGTGGACATTCTAAAGATATCTTAAAGGCAACCTATGACCCTTGGCGAACTGGATAGTCAAAAATTAAACTCTTTTTTTATAATTATACTCTAAATCTAAAATCTCAACGTCATTGAAATTTAACGAATGATTAGGTACAGACTGATGTTCGTTTACAACAGTTTCAATCTTTCTGTTTTTATGTTCTTTAATTCTTTTTTCCAAACTACATTTTGATTAATCGATGTAATCCACGTATATTAAATAAGATGCAGGAATACAGTTACATTTATTTTTTAAAATTCTTAAACAATCACTTTCAAGTTGATAACAACTTAGAAATTAATACTAATAGAGTAGCCCATTGTGTACGGAGACACAGATATTCTTGAAGACGTCCATGTCCAGTTTAAAGAGTGTTCCAAAGACACATTATGTCTTAAAGACAACCGATGATATCTTTAAGAAATAAGACCTCTTTAGGACATGGACATCCTAAAGACAACCCATATCCTCATGCCCACGGGGATTAAATTTCTGTTTCGGGTTTCTGGTTATGGTATATTAGATCATTTACAAAAAGTATTTAAAATTAGTGATACACACACACTGGATGCTGAAAATATTATTCACCATAAAAATGATGGACTTGCAATTGTGTTAAATTGGCAAATTTTGAATAAACATTCTAGTGTTTCTTTGAGAGGGTGTCTGTGGGTTTAAACATATTAAAATTTGTTCTCATAAAACTGGATGTTAATATATATTGCGTGGATCAGCAAAGGTTATTCGATATAGCAGCAATAGCATCATTAGCGACAATATAGCAGCAGCACCTAGAATGACTATCGCATGTCGAGACGTCTTTAGACTAGTTCCTTAATTTTCAATTTTTTGCAGTGGTCAGTGATGTCAGTAATTGTCGTCATTAATTAAATACAATTATTATAAAGCAATTTTAATGAGACTGTATTTGAAATTTCAAATTTAAGAAATAAAACCAAAAAGACGTCTCGATAAAATGCAACAAACAGTCAACTACGTCCTATAGTAGTATATATGTATATCTAAGTTCAGAATAAGAGAGCAGAGCTCGATTCTTATCAGTTTCACTCAAAACTATTCTGGTACCTTGACGACTCTCCCGACGGAGAGGGGGCTTGCTCTGGCGAAGAGGTTCCTCGAGGCTTTCCATACCCTCGAGTCCCTCTCCTTCGTCACCCCTTTCACTGCTCATCGAGCGCTGACGTTGATTCATTGTTGTCGCATCGTTCAGAGGCACTAACAATTTTACATTATATGTTGTAATATTTACCGCGTTTTATACTCAACTATTAGCAGAAAACTTTTTGTTTGCTCCTAATTCTTTAGTTTTAATGATATTCCAAAAAAATGTTTCTTTGTGAGTAATTGAAACAATAGAGAAACTAGTGTTTATAATATTTAAATGATTTTTTTTTAAAGAAACTATCTACCTTATTGAAATCTAAGAAAAGTGATTGAAGATCTATTGTTTGAGTGCCTTTGGGTTTGATGATTATTTTTGTTTTGTAAATTATTTTTGAAATAATACACTTACCCTGAAGGATTTGAGTTGTGACAAAGGTTTTAATGAGTGTGTCCGTTGTTTGTGTGTACAAACTCAAGGCATATCGAAGACTTTGTAATTCGGGTGATTTTTCCAGATACGTCTTCTTTAGACCATTGCCAGCAGCGTGGAAGTAATTTTTAATTGTATCCAAGGCAACATCCAAGACTGCGCACTGTTTCGGCGATAAATTCTTTTCCACCTCCTTTGAGATATCCTGAAATTTGTCAACGACGAGTATCAAAAATTTCGAGACCTTTTGTAATGAAAAATACTGAAATTGGAAAATGAACAAACCATAACACCACTGAATGCTCCTTTCACGTCTGGCTTGCCTGCCATGTGATTCTTGAATAGCCTCGACATATCCTCGATCTTTGCATTCGCCGCTAAATTCTTTGCATTGTCGGTCAGATTCTTGAGCATCATCTATCAAAGTACGTTATTTTAATTATAATTTTTGAAAGAGGGACAGCAAAAAGTGCACGTTATTTGTACATCGACAATTATCACTAAACGTACATTACAAAATTCATTCAAGCATATTCTTATCTTATCTTATTCACGCAGTTTAAGAATATGCTTGGACGAATTTTTTTTACGTACATTTAGTGATAATTGTCGATGTACAAAAAAACGCACTTTTTGCGGTCCCTTTTTAATTTTAATTCTAATTTAAATTTCTAATTTCAATTCTCTAATGGGAGATGCAGAAAACTTTATAAATACGTACACTCTTATCAGTCATTGGCGGGAGGACGACAGTTTTTTCAAGAATTCTCATAACGATCTTCCATAATTCCTTGAGCAATCTCTTGAGTACAGTCTTCTCACAAGACTGGGCATAAAGTGACAAACTTCCGTCGAGTAGATCCATTAATGGTCTCAATACTTCGTCAGCTTCGACACTAACGTTACCAATATTATTTCTCTGATTTGCTTGATTTATTTGTCCACCACCCTTTATTGATAGCAGTAAGTCTCCAAGTTCTCGGACGGATACTGTTATTCTTGGTTCAAGACTCTTTGCAAAGAGTACAGCGAGATCATCCAAGGCTCCATTTAATTGTTGTTGCAAGTCCTTCAGTATATCTGATGCATCTTGCTCCAATTTCTCTCCACCCATTGACTCAAACATCTTCTCTAATTGTACCCTCAGTTGTTGAATATTGTTCATCAGAATGCAAGCCTGTAATTAGAAAGACAATTAGATAATTGTTTCTATCCTTAGAAAACAAATATACTGTTCTGTAATTATTTTTCATTTTTTGGAAAGTGGATGGTACTTACAATTCGCTCGTCTTTGAGATGACTAGGAAATTCTTGTTTGACAATTGTTGCGTACGCTTCTAAAACTTTGACAATTGTTTTAGCGAATCTTTTCATATATCTCTTCCAGATTTCAGGATCCGGGCATTCTAATTTGGACACGACGTCGAAGCACTGAGTTAATTGTGTGAAAACGTCAACCACAGAAACGCTGAAAAGTGCATGCTCGCTGCTTTTTTGGAACTGGAAGGAACAAATTCGTATGTCACTAAATTTTTGTTATAAAATTACGGAATCAGTGTGGAGAGTAAAAGACTTACCCCATCTTTTTTGTCTCTACTAAAGGCCCCGTAAAGATATTCCAAAGAAACGTCATCATTCTCATTGAGCCACTGCATAACAAAAGGTTCAAACCAAGCTGGATATTCTGGTACAGCGTCTTTAAAGGGAGGCACATCGAGAACATAATTCGTATAGAGCCATTTCACCTTGAAATGTAGATTCATATACGCCGATGATTTGCACTTTCTCACTTGCTCATGCTCATCCAATGAACCCTTCATGTCCATTGCAAACAATGACCAAACTGTTGCTGCTGACAATTGTCCAATATTCAATTCCTGTGGGAATTGATTCAAAACAGGTGCATAACTTGTACGATCTTCCTCAATTACTGAGACAATAAGTGCAATTAATTTATGCCAAAAATCAAGTGATTCAACGCCAGGACCACGTTCCTCGGGATCACGTTTCGCCTCACTTGGATCAACTTGAAATTCACGTGCATAAAGCTCGTAACAATTTCCATAGAGAAATTCGTATGTTGAACGAAGACATGCTTTGACACAATCTTTTACAACTGTACTTGCACGTGGTGGACTCGTGAGTTCTTGAACTTTCATTCGGAAGAATGTGATACTTGTTAGAAGGTCCACTGAACTTTTTAGATCCATTAATTTCTCTTGACTCGACGCTGGGAAATTGTTGCGATACATTGAAAGATCGATTCTCAACGATGTGTGCAATTGATCCAGTAGTTTGACAAATTTCTCTTTCTGGAAAATATAAATAAAAATGAGGAAAAATGTTGTTAAACAATGTTTATTTGTAATTTTACACTTAATTTTTGATATCAAAAATTGCGGATTCATAAAGGGAGGTAAAATTTTTAATGATTGATTACATTCGCGTGGAATTCGGTACCCAGGGATTTTTTGTGTCACTGCTTACGAATCTGATAACTGTTTCTCAAAATTCAAAATGGCGGGTCCAATATGGAGAACAAATTTTATAAAGGTTTAGTGGATTCTCTGGAAATCTATTACTCGGGGGTTTTCCAGGTCAATGTTAACAAATCCGATAGCAGTTTTTTAAAATTTAAAATGGTGAAACAAACATGGAGGGAAATTTATTAATGCTAACGCACTGATCACTGAATTCGAGAACTGTTTTTCGAAGTTCAAATTAGCGAATCCGAAATGGTGGGAAAATTATTATTCAGGGGTTTTTGCTAACGCTGATCATGAATTGGAGGTCTGTTTTTCGAAATTCAAAATGTCGGATTCAATATGGCAGGCAAATTTTTAAAAAATTCATTACATTTGACAAAAAGTTATACTTAAAGGTTTTTGGAGTTGCTGCATGCAAATCCGATGTTAATTTTTCTAAATTTTTAATTATAGATTATAAATGATTTTTCTTTACGCATAAGTATATTTTGCGTCATTGTACATTAGAGAATTTTAAAATTCTCTACAACGAAGTCACTACATAGAACACAAGATCAGACAATAGTATTTCTATTCACGAACATCCACTATTTTTCTGAACGTACACGCGATATTGTATTCTGTCGTTAATTTAACATTATTAGTTCACGCGCAAGACACTAGATTCGAATAAGTGGATAAAGATCAGTAACGTGAGGCTATCTCAATATAAAATTTATACCAAGTCTCCGTGTATATTTATATATATATATATATATATATATGTGCTCGTATAGTTTAAAGCGTAAAATCCATGTTTTAATTTCACACTGCCACTTTTAATATTATAAAATGCAAATGTGCCCGAAGGCGCGAGAAATAAAAAGGTGAATAATATTGTAAAATGAAAGACTCATCTCGGCTCTTGCAAATGAGAATGGAGAAGATATTTCAAAGCTAGACGTATTTTACTCTTTTTTTTATTTCTCGAGGATTTACAAGTGAAATTGTTACTAAAAGGAAAGATTAATTTCAATCATCAATTGAAATTCGCACCTGATTTTTAAAATTTATAAACTGACCTCTTGTTTCAGAAAAATGATTATGAAATAAGAAAATTAATACACAAAGTAAATTGATAATTATACATTATATCAATTCATGTAATTATTATCAATTCACTATGTAAAAATAAATGATTAACGAAGTATACAGAGAATAATATTGAAACTTGATCATATACAATCGGGAAAATTTATACTCTAAGGGCTTGTGATCTTGCGTGTAACATGAATATAGTGGACCTGAATCATCTTCGCATTATATTCTCGACTATATAATTTTATATCGATCCTTATTACTAACTTAATAAGGATTACACCGGAGAGTGAGTGATTTTATAACCCAGGTCAAATATATATACAAGTTTTTTTTCCGTAAAACTTTAATGATAGACTGTAAAATGGAAATTTAAAAAAATAATTTTCTCTTCATATTTTTAATTTCATTTTAGTGCAAATAATCCTTTATCTTTTGTTAATATTTTATAATTTTATCTCTCAATTATTCGCGTACTTTTATATTTCAAAAAGTGTGAAAAAATGTTCTTTTGAAAAGAAAAAACAAGAAATGGGAGAATGATTAATAGATGGGAGAATAAATGATGATTTACAAGAATCAAAAATTGTAAAAAATGAGTAAAAATGGTGACATTGAGGTGTATAATTAGAATATACTGGATATGTCAATAATAGAAGAGAAATTATTCCCCATAAATAAATTTGATGTTTCTATAGAAGGTTTTTGTTTTTGGTTGAAAAATGTGAAAAAAGTTGAAAGATTCGTATTCTCGGATAACAAATGGCTATTTAGCTTTTGAGGAAATTGCAGAAACGTTTCTCTGTTGAGCAATGCTTTGACCATATTCTGTATAAACATAAACTCACCCCAAAGTTACTGGCGGCAAATCTATCACTGGCTGAGACGGCAGAACTTGCTGTTGTATGAGCATAGTAGGCATTAATGTTTGCTAAAAGTGTTGACATCACTGCCGGTACACCCGGACAAAGGTACTTTGTTGAAAGACAATGAAAGTGACTGGAAAAAATTTTATATTTATTACTACAAAGTAAAAATTACTAAACGGTAAATTTAATTATTAAAGCCATTTAATCGAATAATTCAAAATTACTATAAATCCATTTAATTGAATAATTGAGTTAATTAATCATCAGCAAAAAAACTACAAAAAGTTGAAGAAAATTAAAAATTTATTTTTTTTAATTTATAATTTATTTTCTTATTTTATATTTTCCTACTTGAAAATTGTTTCTTTTCACATGGAAAAACCAGGGTTGACACAGGTCAGGGAAATAAGGGAATTTAGGGAAAAGTCAGGGATTTTCAGTAAAAGTACTGGAAAAAATTGAATTTTTAAAATTCATTAGAAAACTCTGAATTTTGATGTTTTTTTTTTGTTTGCCTCATAAACTATGAAATTACTACGAATTCTAATACAAAATATTCAATTTTTTTTGTATTTCTGACAATAATTTCTTTTTAAATAACTTAATTCTTGAAGAACTAGGGTAAATGCACTAGTAGTCGGACACTTAAGGATACAATCTTAAATTATGCTTTTTTTCTTGAAATAGCAAATATCTACTGTGTTTATAAGCACATTATTAATTAAAGGAGTTCTTCAGGATTAAAAATCATATAAATTTGTTACAAATAGTTGAGTATTTAATAAAATATAAACATTTTAATAAAAAATTACGAATGCTTTAGTAGTCGGACACTTTTTCCCCTTGTTTCTATAGTCGGACATCTGTCAGATATTTTGGATTTATAAAGTAAAACAGATAATTTTTTAATTGCTATCTGCTGGAAAATGGAATTAAAGCAAATTAGAAGTTATTAATATAATATTTAAACCCTATAAGTTTTAATATTTATGATTAATTATCAACAAAACTTTGTGCCACTCATCGCGCTACTCAAAAATGGTTGTATCTATAGTCGGACACCATGATTTTTAAAACATTAAATAAAATATTTCTTGTTTAATTATTTTCGAAAATAACACTATTTTAATAAAATATAAACTTCACACATTCGTCTAGTATACTTTTTAAAGTAATTATCACAATGCATTATTATTTATTTGACAAAAAACACGAAAGTGTCCGACTACTAGTACTGTCCGACTATACCCGCACTTACCCTATCAGAAAATTATTATTTAGAATTTATTTAGAGAATAATTTTTACAATTTTTATAAATACTAAATTTATAGAAGAATTTTAATTAAAAATAATAAGAAAAAATGAATTTAGAAAAGTTACAAATGATTCCAGAAATTCAATTATTTTTAATTTTTTTAAAATTCTCGTCAAAGTTTCAATTATTTTTATAGATAATAAAAATCTTCTCTGAAATTCAATTAGTTTTAATAATTTTAATAAAATTCTTGGAAAATTTCACAGGAATTTAATTATTTAAAATACAAAATTTAAAAATTTCATAAATATTTTCGAAAAATAACAATTATTTAAAAAGTTTTTTATAAAACTCGTCGTAAGAATTCAATTATTTAAAAACAATTTAACAAAGTCCTTTTCAAGAATTCAATTATTTTTATAAATAACAAAAATTCTTCACCCAAATTCAATTATTTTTATAAACTGAAATAAAATTTGTTGCAAGAATTCAATTATTTATATAAATAATAACATTCTTCACAGAAATATAGTTATTTGCAAGAAATAATCAAAAATTTAACACGAATTTCATTATTTACAAATGTTTTTATAAATAACTTCGCAATCATTCAATTATTTTCATAAACAATAAAATGTTGACGGAAATTCAATTATTTAAAATACAAAATTTCATAAAATTTTTCAAAAAATATCAATTATTTAAAAAGATTCTTATAAAATTCGTCGCAAGAATTCAATTATTTAAAAAAAATTTAACAAAGTTCTTTTCAAGAATTCAATTATTTTTAGAAAAGTAATAAAATTTTTCACAGAAATTCAGTTATTTTTATAAACTTGAAAAAAAATCGTTGGAAGAATTCAATCATTTTTAAAAGTAATAAAATTCTTCACAGAAATTCAATTATGTTCGAAAATTTAAATAAAATCGCCAAAAATTTCAAGTATCTTGGAAAATTTCACAAGAATTCAATTATTTACAAAATTTGTAATAAATTTCTTCGAAATAATTCAATTATTTTCATAATTCATAAAATTTCTTCGAAATAATTCAATTATTTTCATAATTCATAAAATTTCTTCGAAATAATTCAATTATTTTCATAATTAATAAAATTTTTTACAGCAATTCAATTATTTAAAGTACAAAATTTCATAAAATTTTTCGAAAAATATCAATTATTTTCAAAAGTAATAAAATTCTTCACAGAAATTCAATTATGTTCAAAAATTAAAAAAAAATTATTGTCAAAATTTCAAGTATCTTTATAAATAATAAAATTCTTAGGAAAATTTTACACATAAATAAATAATAATAAATAATAATAATAATAATAATAAATAAATTTTTACAAATAATAAAACTCATCTCAGGATTTTAATTATTTTTGATACAATTTTAATCGAATTCCTCGAAAAATGTAATTATTCTTAAAAATTTTATTAAAATTTGTCAAGAATTCAATTATTTAAAAAATTGTTGATAAAATTTTTTATGAGAATTCAATTTTAACAAAAATTTAATTATTTAATAAATTATTTATTTTTTAATTTAAATAATTGAATTCTTCTCGAATTTTCTAATAAAAATTAATTTAAAAATGATTTACTGAATAATCGATTAATTATTTTTAAAATTAATTGAATTCTTGGAACAAATAATATTATTAAATTTTTTTTAAATAACTGATTTTTTGTGAGAAATTTTACGACTTTTAAAAATAATTGAATTCTTGAAAAGGATTTTATTAGAATTTTTATAAATAATTAAGTTTTTTTTGAAAAGTTTTATGGTAATTTAAATTATTACAAAACATGAAGGCGATCACTCCGAGTCTTCGACTTGGAGTGATTGCCTTCTTCATGTTTTGTAATAATATTCTTATGAGTTATTGAATTTCAAAAAGGTTTGAATTTGAATGTTTTTAAGAGTTTTAATTCTTACGGAAAAATAATAATGATTAAATGTTTATTTAAAAAAGAAGTATACGAAAAAAAAGAAAAAAAGAAATTATAATTAATTATATTTAAAAAAAAAGAATTATACGAAAACATGAATATGTTTTCGTATAATTTTACAATTAAAGAAATTTGTAAATAAATGTAATAGAACATTTTTTTGAGTATCTAATAATTTTTCGAGTGAATCCGAATATTTTTTAGGTTCAGGGAAAAATTGAAAATTTTGTCTGGAAATTCGGGAAAAATAAAATTAAATATTTGTTGCAACCCTGAAAATGAAACTTACGTCATCGCTTGATAAATGCTTTCAATTCCATAACGCATTGCAAATTCATCGACAAGTTCCTCGCCAGGTGGATCAAAATACACTTTCCATGCGTCATCGCCCCTTGCCTGGGGTAATGTGACCATTCCACTATTTCCCTCGCATAGACTGTGAAAGAGATTCTCATGAAGACATGTATATTGAACGTGATAAGGTGCCACTTTTTCTTCGCCCTTAATTTCAACGCTTATGTGAAGTCTGATTGCACCTGAGACTGCACTTTTGTCAGTTCGTTTTTCCAAATTATACCACACGTCCATTTCACCGCTCAACGTTCGTACTTCAATGATCGTTTGACCCAGGAAATCGTCACTTTCCCTAGTTAGCTTTTGCCTCAATTTTGATTTTAGGTCATTGTCCTCGTCCCACACTCGAACTTTTATTCGATCTGACGAATTGTGACACTCGCTGGAAAATAGTAATTTAGTATTTTTTTTTTCTGTTTTAAAAAGATGATGAGAATTTTTGCTTGTTCTTTGAAAAATTAAAAAATTTTGTCAGCACAAATTGAATGCATTTTCATTTTTAGTTTAGAGTGACTTTTAAATTAAAGAATATGTCCCAGGAGGTTTACTTTTTGTAATTTCGTTTTGAGCTTTCTCCTTTTCATTTCCTAATTTCAAAATTTTAACATTTATTGAAAAAATTTTATTTTTCCTAAAACATTATCACCTTTGCTTCCAAAATTTTGAAGGAAAATTAAAATTTTTTTGAGTAGTAACAGTGAGAATTTTTGTATGAAATTAAAAGTGAAAATATTTTGAGTGAAAGTGAGAAATTTTACAGGAAATTGAAAGTGAAAGTTACTTAAACCCACCCCTCGGAATTTAATTATGTAATTTAATTTTGACTTTCCCTTTAATTTGAATGAAAAAAAAATGAATGAAAGTGAAAGAGTAAATGAAAATCTTATTTAAATAAAAGTCAAAGTGAAAATGAAAATAAAGATGAAAAATAAAATCAAAATCTATCAAAGAAAATTTAAATCTGTAAAAATAAAAATCAAAATGAACAGGAAAAGAAAAATTAAATCAAAAATCAAAATCTACAAAGATGAAGGAGAGAATTAAAATATCTGCAATTATTGAAAGCAAAAGTAAAAATGAAAGATGGAATTAAATTATATAATCTATCTCCTATTTAAAGTCCCGAATTTTTCGTTTAAATTAAATTATGACTTTTAATTACATCAATATTCTTTATATCGTTTTTTTATTCAATTGAAAAAATGAATTGAAATGTAAAAGCGTATTTATGTATAAGAATTCCTGAAATTTTTTAGTATTCAGTATTCAATAAAGAGATTTTACATTTTAGTTGGATGATTCGGAATGTTCGAAAGCCATTCTCTTTAAATATTTCACGATCCATTTGATTTCAAAAAATGTCGCTATTTCACATGAAAAAAAAAGAATTAACGATTAAAAATATTTTTAGACACAAATTTTGCAAAAAATATAGTAAAAATTTTTTTCAATTTTCAAATTCTTTTGACCAAACTATAATAATAACTCACAAGTAAAATTTCTCGTTCCAAACGGGATTTAATTCTTGTGGCATGGTTTTCGTTCTTTTCTTCACTTTTCCCACTTGAACTGTGACATAAGGATCAGATGTTCCACTCTTGTCCTTGGCAATTAATCCTTGAGCGCAGATCACTGTGAAATTGGAATTTAGGAGAAATTAGAAAAACATTTTTCATTGAAAACAGTATTTTTTTTTATGACAATTGTAAAAATGAAAAATTAATTTCTCAAATTTAACACAAAGCAAGATGCGGAAATGAAAAATTTATTCTCAATTATTAAATGTAATAATTTTTATTGAGTTAATAAATTTTCACCTTCCGGTGTAAAGAAGGAGGGTAATAAAAATTTTAAAACAAATGTACCATTGTTATCTTTCAGTTAGGGGACAATTTGATTAGCAAGCAGGGAATTACGAGTTTTGAAGCAATGCCTCTGGATTTGAGTGCAACGACGATGCAATAAAACTTGAAAGCTGGTCGGTTGTTTGAGACCCCTGTGAGGTCGTCATCCTGCTTTGACGTTACCACACAATGCTATTTTCAGGTTTATACATTTGAATTCAAATGCAATATTTTGACTTAACAAACAGTTGTATTTACGAAAGGGGTTATGGCTTGTGGAGATACACACACGCACATATAAATATATTTATGCATGTATGTAAAATTCTACATCACTACTCCTCCTCCTCCTCCTCCTCTTGCTTTGTGCTTGTTTTGAGATGAATAGTTCCAAATTGTGACCTTGCTGAAAATTCAATTTTCTTTTCACGAGACTTTTAAATTATACAGAGAAAAATTTCCCTATGGATTTAATAATTCTATTATATTTTACGATAGCATTGATTTTTCTAAACAGAAAATAAAAATTGAGAAAATGTATAAAAAAATACTTTTATTATCATCACAGAAAAATATAGGAGTTATTTTTCTTTATTCTCATTTTAATACTTCTAAATAAATAAACGTAAAATAAACAAACGAAATTGGACTTTAAACTTCAGTTTAGATAAACAATTAATTATTGGAAGAGTCTGGCAAAGATGGGCAACGGATAGAGTCAAGTTTTCCGAAATTAAATATATAATTTAAAAAAATAAATGAAGATGAAAAGAATTTGCATCCGAGATCAACTGAATATTTAGTCAACGCCACAATTTTCAATAATGAAAAATAATGGAGGACATGCATTTCCTCTAAAAGGTGGAACATTGATTTACGCCGATTTTTACACCGACACCTTTTTTTTTAACAGTGTTTCAGCCCTTTTTAAAAAGCGTGCACATAAGCTAGGCATATTTTGTGTATAACATGTATTTACAATTACAAAACAAAAACAAAAAATTACAAAATCCAACGTGAAAATATTTTTCCAAAATTTTGTCAAATGTCTCTCGTGAAATTTTCGCCAAGAATTCTCTAGAGATCTCAAAATTATAATTTCCTTAGAAATTTCTTATGGCTTTTTAGTAATTAATTATTAATAATTAATTAACCATTCAACAAAAGATTTTCCAATATTTTCAAGTGGGATTTTTGCCTATTACTTTTCCTGACAATATTATTTTTATTACCTGCATAAAATATGTAGCAATATCATAAAATATTTAATATTTATGATTATATTATTATATAAGGGTTATATATTATAGTTTGTATAATGGTAAAAAAACACAATAAAAACAAATAGCGACGGATAGACACACTCATGCCCATGCTACAAACTCTTATTATTTTGGGCCTTAGATGCGAGTTTCTTCCTTGGCTTCGAAAAAATCCTTAATCCAATTCCGTATGAATTCCAGTTATTGTAGATGTTACGTTTATGTATTTGTGTACGTACATATTATTTGAAGGATAATTGTGTTTGTGATAATATGCTTTGTCGAGTAATGATTCCAATTTGTGTAATTGTATATATGAACATGTGCGTGACATTATAATACTCGGCCAACGCTTCCATTGATTTTTCTACTGTATGCACCTTTTGTATTGTCATCTACGTTGTCGTCGGCGTGTACTCTTTCGATTATCGACATACCGTCTCTTCCGGGAGATAAATTGATTTTTCATTATATTACTTATTGACGTTTTGATTAAACATGTGGTATTTTTTTTGTATAACTTTCAAGAACAATTCCTTCCAATCATCGTATTGATTATATTCGTTACGGTTGGGAAAATAATTTTTTATTGTAAAATAGGTTTGACGGAATTGTGAGAAATCGTTGAGAAGAAATGAAGCTACATTTGCCTATTCAAATAGTTTTGGAATCATCCTGTGCCAAGTTGTGAAAATAAGAAGCAGATTGTCTTCAAAGGACTGGAGAAAAGATTGCAAAGATGATTAAGTTTTGCGTTATCCAAAAGAAAGTGAATTTGTCAGTGGAATAAGGGGTGAAAAACCTTTAGGAGTTTGTTAAGAACGAAAAGACAAAACTTGCTATGGATGATGAAGCGACAATCAGAAATGGGTATAAGAAAGTACAAGTCAGCTTCAGATTAGGAGAGCTGTCAAGAAAGCTCTCTTAACTTCTGGTAGTCTAAAGGGTAATTAAGAAAAATCATCCAAAGTGCCAGAACAGTAGGCGTATAAGCCATATTTAGATTAGAAGTGATGTCAAAAAGAGCAGAATTTCTGGGCAAAGAAGAAAAGAAAATTAATAATAGTTAACAGTAAAAAATTACGTGCCAATTGGTACGTAATCGTTTCTGGAACATTGTCTAAAAGTCGTCCTAGAGATATTCTAAGAACATTTCAAAATAGACAAAAATTTATCAATTCTTCGAAACAAAAACCTGATGATGACACTTGCAGCGTCTGCCCTACAATTTCCAGTTGGAATGTTGATTAAAATTATTTATTTTTCCATCAGTTATTTAGAAACAAACCGAAGGTAAAATTAATAATGAATTTAGACATTCCAAAATGAAAAGCGACTATTAAAGTGATTATATACAGTGAATCTGAATTTGGGAAATGCGTATAGAACTCATTAACATTTAACAACGAACAGAACGTGTCAGGAATTTCATAAAAGGTTTCGATTATTGCAGCTGACTCTTCTGCCAAATTAGAGAAGGTTATTTGAATTCGAGTTCACTGAATCAAAAGATTTTATTACTAGAGCGGAAGCAGAAGTCGCGCCAACTGTTATTCTTGCATCCTTTCATCTCTCTCTTTCTCTTTACACCTTCTTGTGTATTTAATAAATTCTTCTTATGTTTCGGATTTTAGATGGTACATTCCCTTATAAATAAATATATGGAAAAAAAATTATGGATCATTCGAAACTATTTTATGTGACTCTATGAAATAAAAAAGATGTTAGTCTTATGAAAGTTATAGGTGAAGGACTCAAAAATAAGTCACAAAGAAAACGCTAACGAAAAAACTTTAGATTTATATAGAACGCAATATCCCTCGTCGATACTGTGTGAAGAAAGTTACAAAAATTGGAAATACGAGGATCGATAATCGTGAGTTAGAAGTAACGAATATGGAGTAGGCGCACAACCGAGTCGCTCCCACCACGTTGCCACAGTCGTGAAACAAATCGCCCCACCAGTTCGCGAACGACCAATCACGTGACTTGTTATGCCGGGCGAGTATATAAGAAGCGGCCTCACGGATAGTTGATCACTCGCCATTAGGACCCCAGAGCGAAGCGATCTGCGCACGCATTACGTTTTAGCATGCGTTCTCATTGGTGCAGAGGTTAACCGCAAAGAACAGAAGGAGGAGAGGGAGCGCCACTATAAGCGCAAACTCAAAAGCGTCTTTAGAGATGCTCAGAAACGAAGGAGTGAGGGTGGCAGTCCAGAGGAGACTCGAACCATAGCTGGTAGGGACGAAGCGAACCACTATGCTGATTCGAGTCGGCCAAGGATTAACGTATTCTAACATTTTAAGTAAACTTCTCTAGGAGGTCAACCCAGACGTCGGTTTTACAAGAGTGATAGTAGCAAGAGCTACAAAAAGTGAAGGTCTTAGGACATAACCATAGAGGGATGAAGCTCGCGGTTGTAGTAACCAATTCAAAAGAAGTGGACAGGCTAGAGAAATTGGGACACGTAAAAATTTGTTTCATGAGTTGCCTAATTAAGTCATCCGGTGTCATCGATGCCTGGGATATGACCATATTGGAACGAATTGCCGAAAGGAAGATAGATTGGCTGCGTGCTTTAAGTCCGGTGAAGTCGGTCATAATTTAATCTCCGGTTGGTCTGCTATTAATGATGAAGTTGAACATTTAGAAAAAGGGACAACTCATCAAGATTGAAAATTGATATAACAAATGAGGTGATGGATCAGCTTATAAAAGTGAAAAAATATACAAATCCCATATTTATCTCGACAAATTTCAGTCAAGCCGATTGAGAAAGTTGAATATCCTACGAATTCGTACCTTAGTGATCTTCTTGTGCACCTTACTCTTTAGTGTAAACGGTAGATTAAAGACTCCTTTGCTTATGCAGGTAGAAAGGGTCCAGCTTCTAATTAAGCTTGATAATGGGTCATGAAGAAGCAAAGCAAGAGGAGGACTAGTTCTACGCTCAATTGGTTTAATTAAAATAAATTTACCAGAGTACTGGAATTAGAAGGGACATAACTAATTCGAATACTCTTTGAAACATTATTTTTGAGTCTCCTAAAAAAGACAGATATCTTAATAGTCCCTTAGAAAAGAAGACAGATCCGAAAAGATAAGGAATAGAAACAATTTAAATCTAATCAAATGTTTCTCATCCTTTTCCACCTTAGCGGATTGAAAAATCGAATATGATACGAATTCGTAGCATATCACTAATCCGATTGTTCTTAGAAAAATTACTTTTCACTCCTAAGAATAAAGTATATGCCTTAGCTTTTTAGACAAACAAATGCTCACTAAGGAGTTGAAAAATATTGTCGGGGATTTCGTCAAGACATTTCTAGAAATGTTCTAAAATGTTGAGTGTAACTCTAAATATCCTTAAGTCATGAAAAAGACGACCATAGAATATTTTATGTCTGATCCAAAGATGACTTTGAAATGTCTCTATAATGTATTTAGGATATCCTTAATACATTTTCAGATTGTACTTGAAACGTTTTTAGGATATTCTACAGACCTGTTTGAAAAGTTTTTAGAACATGACTTGGATATATTATAAACATTTTCATTAGGTTATTGGACCTCTAATTAGAAAAACCGAAGGAATAATTATGCAACTGGTAAATCCGCTGCGTGCCTTTTTCTAATTATTTCCATAAAGAAATATCCATTAGACTTAATTAATATTTAGCAGTTATCAATAGTAACTTTTTTCAACAAAACAAAAAAAGAACAATTGCGTATTTTCCATGCTTCCCAGTTCATCATCTCGGTTCGAGTATATAATCCAGACTAAAAGAAAAAAAATTCTACGAAGAGAGAAAAGCGAAACGAATATAATCGTAAATATCAGTCGGAATGTGAAGGTTGCAAAGATTAAAAAAAGGACGCGGTCATAGTCGAAGAAAAGTATACGTATATATAGTAAAGGTATGAAAAGTTGGCTTGGTTGTGTATTGGGAGTCGGCTACGAAACGATGAATCTGGGCTTTTGGTGGGGATGGTAGGAAAAAGGGGCGGACAGAGGGTGGCTCTCCTTGTTCGTTGAACTATCGATCTCGCTTTCATACATGTCGACCACCAGGTCTCTCGATTTTCGTGTCATGCAAGTTTCGCACTAGTGCAACCGGAAATCCGGATCAGGTGCAAGGCGATTGTTGAGAAAGCTTCTTTATATCGAATCAATACAACTGGATCGTACCATAATACATATATATATATATATATATATATTCGAAACACTAGATCAAAGCTTTCTACTAAGCGAACATCTTCCATTATCGTGCGTCTCGTCGAATAATACAAGAGAACGTTCACGATTAATGCAGCTCTGCATTTCTAGAGAGCACTTTGATTCTATTATTTGACTACTATTTTCTACTCTATCATTTCTGAATCTCCAATATTCCAATAATTGTAGTGAATTAATTGCGTAAAAATTAATTAATAAAGGGGTATAAAATTAGTGATTCAAACTTTATAATTCTTTTTTACTAAAATATATTTTTGTTTCATGAATAAAAATACAAAATATATACCTAATTGTTAAAGTGATAAAGATAGAGATTTAGTCGACATTTGAAGTAAGTATAAATAGAGAGAGAATACTGAAGGCGTCTAATGCCGCGCCCCTCCTTTCTCCTACCACTCGCTAGTCCAGAAGCGAAGCAATATACATCGTTCGAATGGACTTTTCCCTAAGATCGTCTTCCGGTTTGCCTCGAGGTGTTTCTCCAGCTAACAGGAAATAGTTTCAGATTATATTCAGTAGAGACGCTTCTTTCTAAATGTAGGTAAAACAAAATGCATCCGCATAATGAACAGAAAGTCACGAACCTTCTCTGGTTTCAGATTCTTTCAATCTTTAGGAGTTTTGGGTCCCTACTGCTTTTTGTAGACACTTGCGACAGGAAATTAAAAAACTTCTTGCCCATTATCCAGTAGTAGCACAAGATGAATAGGTTGAACTATCTGAATTGAACAACTACGAGTTTGACCCATCACTTCAGGATTATTCCTATGTCCTCACACTAAAAAAAAAGTTTTACTTTTAGCCTGTTTTCGAGGCTGAATTTAAGGTGTAAACGGAGTCAGCCCCATTAAACAAGGACAGACTTATGTGAAATACATGGGCTGAATTTAAGGTGTAAACGGAGTCAGACTTTTTTTTCCTGTGCTGAAGTCCTAAAAAACTAATATTCTCAGTATTCCGGAACGGGCAAAAGGATTATGCAGCGCTCTGATATCCAGTTCCTTGATTGATCTGAAACCAATCCCTGGAGTTCACTAAATCCAGCCCTATTCGACGACAATAATCCGGAAATCAATTCTACAGTAACTTTGAGGATTATTAATATCAAGAGCTATATGTTTTAGTAACAATTATATTAGGTAGTTGTCAGAAGTGTATCTGTAAAATTCAAAGGTAATCCAGTGAAAAATAAATACTCTTCGGTATTTCGGGATCCAGTTTTCACATCCTAAAGATTTTTAAGGAAGTGGGGATATGACGTGAATAGGAAATCTCATTTTAACTATGAACATGAAACACCGAGTGCCTCCACTCGACAAAAAAGTAAATTGAACGTAGATCAATTTCATTTTTGCATTTTAGACGAACTATATTTGCGAAATGATTGTCACTGTACGTCATGTTTCTTCCGGAAGGCGTAAAGTTTATAATACCAAATTTTTCTTTACTTAATCATGTATTTTTACCTAATAAATAATATTTTTAGAAAAATTCCATGGTTTAAGAAAAAAGAATTGTTGAATAATATTTTTTGGCTTTTCAACTGGTTTACCCCCCTCAAGGTTTTTACCTCTAACTACAAGCGAGGTTCATTGTAGATAATGCCGAGCTTTACTGTACAGCATAAATAAAAAAAAACCCGCTGCACTACAACCGCATAAAGAAGATGAACGAACTTTCCTCTTAATCATCCTTACTTCCTTACTTTTGTATTTTAGTTCAAGTAGTTCTTTGTCTCTTTACTTAGGAAAAATTATTTCTCTAAAAATTATTGTATATTGATAAAAAGAATTATTTGTATTCTAATTAAAATTTCTCATTAGTGCGTGCTTTTATTGAAAAATAATGTGAGTGTTAATTTGAGTTTTTATTGTATAATTGTGAAAGATTAGGTTGTGAAAAAAATTTTTTTTGAGAGTCTAATTTATGTCACCTGTGATGGCGATTTTGCAGGACCACTTGCTTGTACCCTCAAGGACCATCTGTTCGGCCTGCTCGAGGCTGTCAATATGAGTGTCCGGGTCGACTGAAAACGTAGTGCTGAAAAGAAGACAATAATACCATCACCTCAGTATCCTCAGGAACATTTTTTTCACCATATAGACATTTTTTTTATCTGTCTCCTATTTTCTGTTTTGTCCGAATTTTATGATAAAAGTCGTGTTCCTCTTTTGATGTGTCTTTATTTTCAATATATAATAAAACACGAGGATACTGAGGAGATGATTAACAGAAACGTGCCATGCGTACAGCATATGTATAAATATAGTTTTATATTTATTAGAATTGTATGTTTTAATTGCCCATTGATTTACATCGTTAAATTTGGAGCCACCATCGATATATAGCTTAAAAGGACTTTGCTGTCAGGTAAAGGGTGTATGCGAATATTGCAGAGATTTATATATTAGAGGGAAAATATTTTTTCCATTTCGCATTAAATGTAAAACAAAAATTACAAAATGAAAAATGTATTTTCTCTGAGATTTTGTAAGTATGTATAAAATGTTTATTTTTGGTAGGTACCCCCAAAGTAATTAATTAGTAATATTACTGACGTAGAAATACTCATTAAGTACATAATTTGAATTTATGACTTAATAATCACAGTATCAACCAATTTCCATTCGATCCGAAGAAAATGTATTCATAGATATCAATTCTAATAGACACATCTAACTGGAGCTCATAACTTCATCTACCTATATGTATACAGAGTTTTAAATAGGTGAAATACATTCGAAAATCTTACATAGTAGTAATGTAAGATGTAGTAATTTAAATAATTGAGGTAGACCTTGATTTTAAAAAGTCATCAATAAAGTAATTCAAATAATTGAGGTATACCTTGAGTTTTAGAAGTCATCAATTCTCGTATACTACAAAATTCCCTAAAAATCGTTCTCCATAAATGCGACCCCAATAACCCAGTTAGAAATCTAAGCTTCCAATTTTGTCTATCAGTAAAACAAAAAACTGTCTTCAGGCAATAAAATTTTATGCTGACCATGATTTGGGATTTAGGAATTCTCAGAAAGCTGTACAGAATGAAACAACAATTTCCGACGGACGTTCCAAAGCATAGAGCCACTGCGCAGGCTTACTTTGAATCGTTCAAGACATTCGTTCCCTTTTATTCTCTTTTCTAAATTTCTTACCTACAGCATTGCCTCTGAAAAAGTTCTAAGGGTACTTTATGGAACCTGAATTACTGATTAGAGAATCTTTAATGTCTAACTCTAAAAATAAGTAATTTTCTAACTTTAAAATTTGGACTTCTTCGAGTTTCGTCACAGTACAAGTCAAAGTTTATACAACATGTTAATTTCTACATCAAGTCACCTTTCTATTTTTCTGAAACAAAAACCTCATCGAGATGCATAGTGCAACACCAACCTTGAATAAATTATCTTGGTTATTCCAAGTCTGAGGAGTAGGACATCTATCTTGAACTTTCGTCAGCCATATTGGATCCGCCATTTTGAAAATTAAAAAAAACTTGATGCCAGATTAGTAATCAGCGATCCCAAAAATCCAAAAACATTGATTTGCAAATCATATCATCGTACATACAGGAATATGAATGTCGACTTGTTAATTTTAAGAACGTTTTTCTCGAAAATTTAATTTTTGACGTAAGGTCCCATTTAACTAACTAGGTCACAATATTAATTTAAAAATAAAGAAAAGAAACAATGACCATATCTACCCGTCTGGAAACTCATCAATTGGCTAATTAACCGGCAGAATAGTTCAAAAGAAGGTCTAAACCACAGACTACATCAAATTATCGGAATAGATACAGAAGCAATTGCACATGATTCGCCTATTTAGGCATACAATTAATTGAATATCCATATATTCAATGAAGTGAAGAAATTATCAAAAATATTCAAAATCCTTTCCTTGACATCTAATTTGGTGAAATTGTAAAATGTAAATAATAGTAGTTTTTCAGTAATAGTATAAATTTTTCATAAATTTCGCACATGTGACCATTCATAACTACAGTTCAATTTAATTATTAATATTAATTATTACTTTAAATAATAATAAGTAATCCTTATAGTGGTAAGCTCGGATCTACTAGGCTATACAGACGGCACTGGGTGAAAAATCAATATAAGTGTTCGGAGAATTCAGAGTTCGGTGAATTTAATTGTCAGTTAGTCTTCTTTACAAGTGTATTGCTTCATCATAAAAGTATTGTTTTTCAGAAATTTTTAAAACTCGAATTTTTTACTTTGAGATTCCTGACATCAGAAACACAAAAATCAGTTTTAAAAAATGTCATTTCGTGTTTGTGTATAAATATATGTTTCGAGCTCGGTTTCGAGCTCCATAAGAGTGAAAGGGATGAATTTCTTTTAAATTGTAGATCTCATTTACGGACACGTAATAATTCACTTTGAAGAATAGGCATAATATTCTTATATGTTAATTAAAGAATCCACTCAACTAATACATATCTTTGATGTGTGAATATTAATGCTCGAAAAAGAAAAACTATAATTAATATTTCAATATAGAGTTGTTACTTTTTTTCTATTTAGAACACGACAGACAACCTGTTCGATGAATAATTACAAAAAACTAAGAACTATATGTCTCTAGACTGAAACTATAGAATAAAGAGGACTTGTTGCATTGATGATTTTGTGGCACACCGCCAAGACTTATGCTAGTGGCCTGAATGAAAAAAATGTTTTTTTTACCTTTTAGAAAAGGGTGGTTCGAGTTTTCTGCAGACTGTATAGTATCGATCGATGGGAATTTTTATGTTTTTGGGGAAATATCCCAATTTTCGCTAAGTAAAAACTATATACTAATTAGATTTATGCTATAGTGAATAACCGGAACCAGTTTTTATGGTAATTCCTGCTAATGAATATCTACTGCTAAAAATCGTGAAAATTCTTGATTGACCTAGTCGTGGTGACGGGTTTTCCACTAAAGAACATCTGAACAGCAATATAAAATGGATTATAGACATTTAGAGAAAGTCCTTGGACGTTTTCGTCTATGTGGAGCAGGACGGAAACTGTATATCTCTCCACTGGTCGTATGACTAGTGCTCAGAGGAGCACGGATTGTTGGGGCGCTTAATTTCTTGCAGTACAGCTGATAATCATAAAAGTATCGGATCCACAGATCATCTTGGGGGAGAATAAAGCATATTTAGCCATTTGAGTTTTATCATCAGGACATTGATCCTACCTGACATTGACAGAGAGGCAGTAAACAAAATCAGCGCCCAGTTAGAAAAGGAGAAAGTCGAATGTTTCTGCAGAAGATGAATGATTTGTATTATTTTGCTACCAAAGCAGTTGGAAGCATGGAAAAGGTACAGTCATCTAAACGAAGAGTCACTTTTGAGATCGGCGATTTGGAATACCTTACCCAAGAAGAAGAAGAAGAAGAAGTCTAAAAAGTTCTGACTCAAATAATATAAAGAAAAAAGGACCGCTCACCTAAAGGGTGTGGTTTTTATTGGGTCGACCAGAACAAAAGCTCAACCCGGGAATACGGGCTCAAGATATCTATCTGGGTAGAATTCTTCCAAAGTTTATCCAGATTTTCTACTCATATCATATATGTTGAAAAATATATAAGAAAAATAATGGAATACAATAATAATAATACTACAATACACGATATTTAAAAAAAAATTTTTTGTATGACACTACATTAGTATACACTACCGGTCAAAATTGAGAGACCACACATTTTCAGGCGAATAAAAAACGTTTTAAAACATCAAATTTATTGAAACTAAAATTTTTTTCTGTTCATTTTTTGAAAGATGATAAAATTTTAAATAGAACAAGATATTTTAGAAGTCGTTCGGACAATAATTTATTTAGATATTTTTAAAAAATCGTCTTTTTTAATGTTTTACTAAAATTTGAATAACTTCTAAAATAATGAACGCTTTTTAATGATCTTAGGCTTATTTTAAAGGTCATTTGCTACACTTTAAGAATTACTTATAGGAATTTACGTGTAATTTTTTTCTTAGGAAATGCAGACAGTCAAACTTGGTCCAAAAAAATTCAAAAAATTTGAAACAATCTTATTAACAGAAAAATAATTTTTAAAATTCAAACGTATTTTTCTTATTAAATTTTTTTGAAAAATTTACATCATACGATGTTTTATAAATTTTCTAGAATAGTTTTTAGTATAGAAAAATTGTTCCAAATTTTCTGAATTTTTTTGGTCCAAGTTTGAAGGCCAGCATTTTCTACGAAAAAAATTACACCTTAGTGTCTATAATTAATTCTTGTAGTGTAGTAAATAACCTTTAAAATAAGCATAAGATCATTAAAAAGCGTTCATTATTTTAGAAGTTATTCAAATTTTTGTGAAACATTGAAAATGACGATTTTTTAATTCGAAGTCAGAATTTTGAAAGATTTACTCAAAATTTTGAGATAAACTTTAAAAACGACTCAAAAACGTTTTTTAACAGAATTAAAATCAAAAGAATCAATGTTTTTTTCTATGACACTATATTAGAGTATTCCCTTATATTTTTTCACTTGGATCACGAATTTGAAGTCAGAATCATGAAATTGGCAAAAATTTTGAGATATTCAAAAAAATCTGACAAAAAAAACAAATAATAGTCAAGCCTCTTTGAAAATCTGACTTCGAAATCAGAGTGAAAAACTACATGGGAATATACTAGTGTAGTGTCATAGCTAAAAATTTCCTTTTTTTATTTTAAATAGATTTTTCATAAATTTTTTGAGTTTGTATCAAAATTACTCATAATTTTGATACAAACTCAAAACATTCCAAATTCAAATTCAAATTCAAATTTGAGCAATTCCCTCAATTCTGGCATCAAAATTGGATTCAGCGGGAAAAAATACATAGAAATATACTATTGTAGTGTCATAGAAAAAATATTTATTTTTTAAGTTTTAATTCGGTTTTTTGAGTCGTTTTTGAGTTTATCTCAAAATTTTGAGCAAATCTGTAAATTCTGACTTTGAATTCGGATTCAGCATTTAAAAATACATGGAAATATACTA